TGTGTGTGTGTGTGTGTGTGTGTGTGTGTGTGTGTGTGTGTGTGTGTAGGGTATGGAAATGGTACGCATACATGTGCATGTATTTGCAGGACAGAAGAGGATTTCAGGTGCTATCTTCAAGCACTTTATGTGTGCTTCTTTAAGATACAGTTTGTCCTTGAGCCTGGGGTTCAAGTTTTCTTAGTTAGATTGGAAACAGACAAACTTCACCAATCCTCCTGTCTCCTCTCACCTCAAGACCTGGAGTTAGAAGGGCATGTAGGGTGCCTAATTAGTTACCTAGGAAGTAGGGTCTGGTCCTCATAATTGTACATCAAGCTCTCTTATTTAGGAAGCTGTCTCTCTACTCCACCACTTCTTTATTTAATATGTGGTCAACATCATCTCTATGTAGTACAGACTGATCGTAAAATCATGATCCCAACCTCACATGCATAGGGGTTTTAAGCTTGCACTACCACACTTGGCTTGACCCTTGCTTTTATTTCTTATTTTATTGAGAAAAATAGAGACTCTCCTATTCACCTAGATTAAGCTTGAACTCATATAGTATAAAATGAACTTAAATTACTTATCTTTCTACTGCCATCCCCCAAGTACCAGGGTTAAAAGTCTTTGCTGCCATGCCTAGCATGTCTGGAACATTCTTTGTCATTGTATAAGATCCAGCTGAGAGGTTTTAGTCATCTAGAAGCTTTTCCCATGCATATTCCTACTCTACTGTGTCACCTGTCTCTCTGTTGTTTTACTGTAATTTGCCTAAATTGCAATTACAGTATTTATTAGACTGAATTTCAGTGATCTTTGCTTGGTTTTCATTTGTTTGTTTGTTTGTTTGTTTTTTGAGAGGTGGTTAGAACAAAAGCTAGTTGATGTCAGAGATTGTCATCCTCTTTTTGTCCCCAGATAGACTCTGGAACAGCTTCTGACATGTAAGTGACAGCAAATACAGGTTTTTGAACTGGGTAAGTGATGAACTTCACCTAAAAAGTTCATTTCTTCATCATGTATTGAATGCCTTTCATTTTTTAAAAAATAATCCTAAATCTAGAGTCTCCTTGGTTCCAAGGAAAAGGTGATTACTAACTGGTTAAGAGATTGGTTTAGTGCTGGCAAAGAATGGTAGAGGAGAGGAAATTCTCAGAAAAATACCTAGATTCCACTATCCTAAAAACTGCAGGGTCTGCCTCCATTTAAATGTTCATCAGGCCATCTTTGCCTTCTTGTTTGACTCCAACACAGTAGACCTGCCATGTAAATACTAGAATTACTGCTGCAATTGGCCACTCTGTTTGTAATAGAGTCCCACAGCCGAAGAGGATGAGGCAGTATTATGTAGAAGTACATTTCCAGTCACCCACAACTTGAGACCTGGAAGGCTGTAGAGAGATTTTGCAGAAACACCAGCTGAATGTGCTGAACAGTCTTGTGGAAACGGATGCGAATGTGTGTGTGGAAAGATGGCTCATCTACTAAAAACACTTGCCACATGACAATGAGGACCAGCGTGTGGATCCCTCTCCTTACTTCAGACATGGAGGCAGGGGAATCCCTAGAACAAGCTGGCTGGTTAGAGTAGCCAAATTGATAAGTTAGGTTTAAGTGAGAGACCCAGCCCCAATATACACGGTGAAAAAGAATCAAGAAAGATAGCCAAGAGCCAACATTAAAGTCTGGCCTCCATGTACATTACCCGTACACACACACACACACACACACACACACACACACACACACACACACA